GTTTTGTCACATTTTCAAAACCGTGTATTCCTATTTTTTGTTTGGTTTGTTTGTTGAATTTCGCACAAAGCTACGCGAGGGCTATCTCCGCTAGTCGTCCCTAATTTAGTAGTGATAGACTAGAGGGAAGGCAGCTAGTCAGTACACCCGCCGCCAACTCTTGGACTACTCTTTCACCCACGAATAGTGGGGTTAACCGTCACGCTATATCGCCCCCACGGCTGAAAGGGCGAGCGTGTTCGGTGAGGGGGATTCGAACCTGAAACTCTCAGATTGTGAGTCGAGCGCCATAACCACCAGGCCATGCCAGGCCCTCCTATTTTTGTAAAACGTTTACAAATAGAGAAGCAAATTTGACACTTTAGTTCAGTTATAAATACTTTTAAACATTCTGAGCGACCCTCAGAGTTTAATTTGATTGATTAATTGATTGCTTGGAATTAAGCACAAAGCTTCATAAAGGCCTATGTGTGCTCTGGGCAGAGTTTAGTGCAAATAGACCCAGTTATAAACATAACTGATACAGCGAATAATAACAACAACGACGTCATTTTCTGTGAATAACAACAACAACGACATAATTTTCTGTGCATAATAACAATAACGACACCAGTCTCTGTGAATAATAACAATAACGACACCAGTCTCTGTGAATAACAACAACAACGACACCAGTCTATGTGAATAACAACAACGACACCAGTCTCTGTGAATAACAACAACAACGATACCAGTCTCTGTGAATAACAACAACAACGACACCAGTCTCTGTGAATAACAACAACGACACCAGTCTCTGTGAATAACAACGACGACGACACCAGTCTCTGTGAATAACAACAACAACGACACCAGTCTCTGTGAATAAAAACAGCAACCACATCAGTCTCTGTGAAACTGTAGACAAAATAGACTCGATACTCGTAATAATCAGCAATAAATTCACACTTACTAACTCGTTAATTACGTTATTGGGAAACTGTTTTACTTCCTACGTATGCAATATGATTAATTTGTCTACTCTTTTAAAAGACATACAGACTGCTAATAAACAGTCAGCAACGTTAAAGGTACTGATATTATTAGGCCGTCAAGAAACTGATGACGCTTTGTTTTAGATGAAAAAACCCTAACAACTTATATATCAAAACAAAATATTTATTAACTGAAATAGTCTCCATTCTTATCGATGATGCTTTTCCATCTTACAACAATCAGGTTGTTATTGCCCCGATTAAAGAAATCACTTGGTTTTGAAGCAAAAAACATGTCGATGTCTTCTTTAACACCTTCCACATTTGCATACGTTTTCCCATTAAGATGGTGTTGCAGCGAACGAAAAAGATGGTAATCTGATGGTGCCATATCTGGAGGATATGGTGGATGGGAGAGAACTTCCCAACCCAACTCCATAATCTTGTGTTGCGTCAAACGTGCTACATGTGGACGTACATTGTCGGGAAGAAGAAGAACACCTTTTCGATTGTCGAGAGAAGGGCGTTTCTGATGAAGGAGTTGATTTAAACGTTCCAGTTGCTGACTATAGATAGCTGCATTGACAATTCGAAATGAATTACTCCTTTGATATCCCACCAAATGCAAAGCATCACTTTCTGCGGATGGAGTCCAGGTTTTGGGGTCGGAAGTGGTTTTTGTCTAGGACTGAGCCATTGTTTTGGCGTTTAATATTCGCATAAATAATCCATTTTTCATCACCGGAGACAATTCTGTACAAAAATGGTTCACGCCCATTACACGCCAAAAGAGACGAAGCAACGTTCACATGTTGGAAACGATGATCATTGGAGAGTTCGTGAGGCACTCAAACACCTTCCTTATGGAGTTTTCCCATATTCCTTAGACGTTTACTCATTGTTTCATGAGAGAAATGATTTCAGGGCCATTTCACGAGTATGTTGTTGCCTTGGGTTAGATTCAGAGCATCAATATCAATTCCAACATGTCGGCCGCTGCCATCACAGTTTTTAAGGCTAAAGTCACCTGAACGAAATTTGCTGAACCATCGTTGACACTTGGGAACGTTCAAAAACATTTCTATAAACTTCTTTGATATTCTTTGTGGCTACAGAGGGGTTGTTTCCCTTCTTGTATTCAAACATCATTACATGCCGAATGTGTGTGCCATCATTATAAAGGATTATAGTATACTAAACTTTACACTAACGTGACGTTTAGGTGGTTCGTTTAACTATTATACATGATGTACTTTCTTTTTGTGGGGGGGGGGGAAAGAAAGAGTTCCAAAACGCCACATTAATTTCTTGACGACCTAATAGATATTCGTATACGAATGTTTCATATGATGTGTACTTTTTTTAAGTAAACACCTTTAATATCATTCTTTAGTAAGGAAGGTTGTTTCCTCCTGCAACACACACACCTAAAGAATGTTGTGCTACATTTAAGAGCATCTTATCCTATTCGCTTTGTCTTTAGATTGTTTTGCTATGTTTAAGGGCATCCTATCTTCTTCTGTTTATCTTAAGAATATTTGACTTGTGTTCTACTATGCAGATCAAATAAAGCGTAACTCACGAAGACCGTAACTCCGATATTTTCACATGCGAGAAGCTTATGTAAACTATAAACTAGCTTCTAGTGAGTCTAAGATTTTAATATCTAGGGTCAGTGTGTACTATTGATATTTTTGAAGAGTGACACCAAAATAACCAACAGTATCGAAACGCTTTCAATCATCCGTGTTGGTGGTAGTTACCTAGGGCATGCTGATGGTAGTTACCTAGGGCATGCTGATAGTAGTTACCTAGGGCATGTTGGTGGTAGTTACCTAGGGCATGCTGATAGTAGTTACCTAGGACATGTTGATGGTAGTTACCTAGGACATGTTGATAGTAGTTACCTAGGACATGTAGGTGATAGTTACCTAGGGCATGCTGATAGTAGTTACCTAGGGCATGCTGATGGTAGTTACCTAGGGCATGCTGATGGTAGTTATCTAGGGCATGTTGATGGTAGTTACCTAGGGCATGTTGATGGTAGTTACCTAGGGCATGCTGATAGTAGTTACCTAGGGCATGCTGATGGTAGTTACCTAGGGCATGCTGATAGTAGTTACCTAATACATGTTGATGGTAGTTACCTAGGATATGTTGGTGGTAGTTACCTAGGATATGTTGGTGGTAGTTACCTAGGGCATGCTGATAGTAGTTACCTAGGGCATGCTGATAGTAGTTACCTAGGGCATGCTGATGGTAGTTACCTAGGACATGTTGATGGTAGTTACCTAGGGACTGCTGATGGTAGTTACCTAGGGCATGCTGATGGTAGTTACCTAGGGCTGCTGATGGTAGTTACCTAGGACATGTAGGTGATAGTTACCTAGGACATGTTGAT